GAATAGAAAAGAGACCCCAGAAATAAACCCCAAAACATATAGCCAACTGGTATTTTACAAAGAATACCACTCAATCCACTGGAAAAAGTAAAAGCTCTTTAGCATATGATGCTGGAAAAATTGGGTATCCACCTGCAGAAGATGAAACTGAATCCTCATTGTCCACCATTAACAAAAATCAACTGAAAATAGATCAAAGATCTGAACCTAAGACTTTAAACTATAAAACTGCTGATGAAAAACACTGGGTAAACACTGAGAAACATTTTGGTAGGCAAAGACTTCTTAAATAAGATTCACAAAGCACATGCAATAATCCCTAACATAGATAAGTGAGACTATATCAGATTAAGAAGTTTTTGCACGGGCAAAGGACACAGTAATTAGTGTGAATTGACAACCCTCAGAATAGAAGAATATTTCTACAAAATATGCCTCAGATAAGGGATTGATAAACAGAATACACAGGGAACTCAAATGATTTATCTAAAAAAAAATAATAAAATAAAAAATAAAAATACAATTAAAAGATGTGTTAGAAGATGGGAAAATGAGCTGAACAAAAATCTCTCTAAGGAAGACATATAAATAGCCAAAAAGATTACGAGGAAATGTTCAATATCCCTCATCATAAAGTAGAAGCAGATTAAAACCAGTATGAGATACCACCTAACCCCTGTCAGAATGGCGAAGATTAAAAATACAAAAAAGTGATGTGTTGGTGGGATGTGGTGAAAAGGGAGCTCTCCTACACTATTGGTGGGAATGTAAACTGGTTTATCCACTATGGAAAACAATATGGAGATCCCTCAAAGATCTGCAAATAGAACTACCATTTGATTTTGTAATCCCACTTCTGAGTGGGATTACCCAAAGGACAAGAGAACACTCAGTCAGAAAAGTGCTTGAACAACAATGTTTACTGCAATATTATTCACGATTGCTGTTATTGAACCAACCCAAATGTTCATGAACAGAAGAATGGATTGAAAAAGTGTGGCACATATACTTTATGGAATACTTTTCAGCCATAAAAAAATAAGACCCTGGTGTTTGATAGAAAGCAGTCTCTTATGGAAGATTTATTGCTGAATGAAGCAAGTCAGGCTATAAATGAAAGATATTGTATGTATCTGCTTAATACATATCAATTATCCACTCTCTATGGTAGAGATTGAAATATTGGCAGGCATAAAAGCAACAAAAATGGTTATGGACACTGAAAACAGTGTGGAATGGGAAGAGAAAAGTATAGAGAAGGATAGCATGAGAACAAATAGAGGCATGACATTTGTGGGACACAGAAATGGTTTATTACCTGTTGATGATAACATGTATAATATTCACTACCAGACTGTTTTGAGAAGTATTTCACGTTAGGTAAATTTTCTTTACAAGCTAAACGATGTATTGCTATCAAATATTTTTAAAAAATGAGAATAATAATAATCTGAAAAAAAATGAAAAGGTATTTGATGATAATATGGATATAATGTCTTTATCTTAACTGATATGCATGGTAGTAGGCTGGAAAAAGAAATGTTATACACTGTAAAGATGCATGTGATGAAATGTAATTAAAAATTAAAAGAAAAGAAAAAAGTCTGTCTCAAAAATCTCTGAATTTTTGGAGTCTTTTTAAATCCCCTTTCCTGTCTAGCATGGTCACAATCTGAACCATTGCTTCCAAAGAGAGAGAAAAAGCACTCCTCAATGGGATATGCTCACACCCTAATTGTTTTTCCTCCATTTCTTCATCCTGTCAGGATTTGGGATATGTACTAATGCACACACACCCAGCATGTTTTCCAAGCTGCCAAGACTGGGATTCAAACTGATGTCAGCCATGTGGGATCTAGCCTGCTATTCATAGGACTTAACTGCTATACCAAGGACCAGCCCAAAAGTATCATCACAGAAATGATTATCCTTTGTTCAAGCAGGACAGAAGTAAAATAAAACTCTGCATAAAGATTATCTACCACTGATTTTTTTTTAAATTAGTATAAGTTCTTTTCCAATTTTAAGAAAGTTAGTATAAGTTCCTGCTGTGTTGTGAAAGAAACTTGTAAATACATAGGAAATCAGAAATAAATATTTTACAATAGGAAAAACACTCCCTCGTTAAAAATAAAATATCTAAATTGTGATTTTTATATATTTAATCTTTTTTATATACAATAATTATTTAATTTCTTTTTAAATAACAACCTAAATAAAATAAGCATTTTAATTTTTTTAAGAATTTTTTGCCATAGGACTCATGTGTTCACAGGAGAGACAGAGAGAAACAGAGAGAGAGAAAGTGAGAAATCACCCCTGGGGGGGATAGCAACACCACAATTTCTTCTCCATTTTCTTCTCAAAATTTTGGGCATGCACACACATAGTCAGTTTCAAACTGCTGGATACAGGACTTGAGCCACAGTTGACAATGTGAGAGTCCAGTGCCTAAACCACTAAATAATTATTATATGTTCAAAATAATAAACTTTACTGATCTAATTTAAAGTGTTCCCCAGGTTGTTTATTTTTTTTTCCCTTTGCCAAATACATGAAATTTATTTTCTACTATATTGCCTGGAAAAATAGGTTAATAAGAGAGATCTGGCAATTTTAATGTGCTATGTTAAACAGGTCTTGATGTCTAGTTTTATTCTATTTTGTATAAGTCTATGTAGGCAATTAGCTTCCAACACTTCACATCACACACTTTTTCCTTTTAAAGTGGATGAGAATTCTGTTGAGAAATACCAGATTATACTTATGCTCAAGATAAATAAAGGAAAAAAATTAAAAAATAGTTCATAATGTATTGATAATATTTGTGACGTTTTCTTGTGAAGAAAAACAGCATGAAATACAGGTTGGGCAGGCATTCATTATCCCTACTTTCTTTGGAGAGTTTTTTTTTTTTTTTTTTTTTTCGCTATAGGGTCTGTGTGCTCACTAAACAGACAGAGAGAGACATAGAGACAGAAAGCAAGAAATCACCCCCCAGGGGGGATGGTCATGCCGCAATCCCTTCTCCTCCATTCTCCTCTCGGGATCTTGGGTATGCACACACACACGCCCGGCGTGAGTTTTAAGCCACCAGGTCTGGGACGCGAACCGTGGTCGACTACATGGGAGTCCAGTGACATAGCCATTACTCTAACTGCTGGTTCCCCCTGCTTTCTATACAAGATTTTCTAAAGTTAGATCTATCACTTCTACACCTCTGAGTGAGTCTATCATAGATTATCCTACAATCTTATTGAATCTCCTTTAAAAACACATACAGAATATAAAACCCATGTTATTCAAATTTCTATTTGTGTCAAGTAATCTGTATGCAAGATACAACACACACACACATGCCTGGACATGTTATATTTCATTAGCTCAATAATGTAAGTGTGGGGTCTGTGACTAAGTATAACATTTCTCATTTTCTCAATTTTATTTATTTACTTTTCCTGAATAAAGCTTTTTTCTCACTACAATATATATCCCCCAACACTGCTCACTTTCCTTTGCAAGGTGATATTCCAACAATATTTGTTTTCTAAAAACATCATGTCAAGTTCCTGAATGGATTTAGAATTTCTTGTCTCTCAAGTCTCACAGTACTTAATATTTTCTGACTTAAGCAATGCTTACTTATTGCATTGCCCTATCTTAATACTGGATTTTGCTGGCAAAGACTATATGCTATCTTTTCTTTTTTATTTTTTTTAATAGGCAGAAGACACATTGTGGTAGGCAGTTAGTTAGCCGTGAGCAGGCAGCCCTAAGAGAAAAGCGAAAGGCTCACCTAGCCCCGGATGCCAGGAGGGTGAGGTAATTTTCCATATTCTTTCCTTAAGACTTGAGGGAAGCATACAGGGATAGTTTGTGGATTTTTCTCTTATCAAAAGGACCTAAGCAAGCATTTTGGTCATTAAGGCGATAGGTTGGTCATTAAGGCGATAGACTAATTGTGCAATCTAATTGGTGTAACCTGACTTGCACTGGGCCTATGCAATTAGGGATCAAATTCCTCACTTTACCTGTGAGGAAGGTGCGCAGGTATAGGAGAGAACGTGTGGATTCAAATTTAAAGGAAGAACATAGGTAGCGTAAGGGGGCCGCCCACTAATGAATATTCATCACATCTAGTAATAAAAGTAACAATTAACCAGTATCAAGTGTAGTTGCCACCTGGGAATCTGCCCGCCCAAAAGCCTTTTGGGTGTACTTCCTTTCCTTTCCTTTCTTTTCTATTAAACCTTCTGTTCTATCTACTTCATTCGTGGTTGCGGTTTCATTCTGTGCCTAGGGACAGATCTCTAATTTAGTGATCTGGACCCAAAGAACCAAGGATTTCACAACGCAGCTCAACACTTTTCCATCCGTTAACAACAGTTATGCCAGAGAGAGAGAGAGCAATCCAGTAGGGTATGGTCATACTGCACCCCTTTTTCCTCCACTTCTCAATCCTGTCTTGATTTGGGGCCTGAATACACTGTACCTGATGTGATTTTCAAGTTATCAGACTGGTATTCAATCCACAAGCAGCCATAGAGATCCAGCTTTCAATGCACAGTGCTTAGCACAATATTTAACCACTGTGGTACAGGCCCAGCAGACTCTATCTTATCTTTGCCAGTTGTAATTTATAAGAGAATTTATATCCTTACTGAGATCTCAGTCCATTTCGGAAATCTTATTAGAAAAGGGGATAAAATTCATGTTAATTGAGTTACACAAGGAATCCTACATGCTAAGTATGTCATCTTTTAATCTTCACAATCAGACTGTGCATTAATTCACATTATCCTAGTTTTATAGATGAAACATTAAAGATGAGAGATATTGCTCATTTTTTTAGGAAGTGGAGACAGAGTTAAGTTTAGTATCTTGAAATTAAATTCATTTCTGTTCCAGTGAACAGTATTAATTTAAAAGATATGTTAACTCAATCTTTGCAAACATACTTTACTTCTACATCAGGGATAGAGTCCACTATTACAACCCACTCAATTAGAAAAGACTTTAGTGTCCATTATCTTGCTGACTGCTTCCTTGACATCTTTATTTCTCAGACTGTAGATCAGGGGATTCAACATGGGGATTACCACTGTATAAAACACTGAGGCCACTTTGACAGTGTGTCTGGAGTTTTTAGAGTTGGGGACACAGTAGAGGAAGAGGATGGTGCCATGGAAGATGGTGATTGCAGTCAGGTGGGAGGCACAGGTGGAGAAGGCTTTGCGGCGTCCACTGGCTGAATGTATCTTGAGGATGGTAACAACAATGAACACATATGACATCAGAATGATGAGCAGTGTGCTGACTTCATTAAAGGTGGCAAAAATGAAAAGCAGCAACTGGTTGAGGAAAGTATCAGAATAAGAGAGGGAGAGCAGGGAGGAGAACTCACAGAAAAAGTGATTGATTATGTTGAATCCATGAAAAGATAACTTTAAAGCAGAACATGTCAGAATCAAGGAACATGCTACTCCCCATGCATACGATCCAGCCACCAACATGGCACACAGTTTCTGGGACATGGCAACTGTGTAGAGCAGAGGGTTGCAAATGGCCACAAAGCGGTCATAGGCCATCACTGCCAATAAAAAGGATTCAGTCACCACAAAGGTACAAAAGAAAAAGAACTGGATCACACATCCTAAAAATGAAATAGTTCTGTCTTCAACAACAAGGTTCACCAGTGTCTTGGGAGCAATGATGGAAGAATAGCAGAAATCCACAAAGGAGAGGTGGCTGAGAAAAAAGTACATGGGAGTGTGCAGTTTGGGGTTGATTTTGATGATTACAATCATCCCAATGTTCCCTACCACAGTGATACTGTAAATGGCCAGAAAAATCAAGAAGAGTGGAACTTGTAGTTCTGGGTAGTCTGAGAAACCCAGGAGGGTAAATGTGGCCCCACTCTTATTTCTATCTGATAATAACATGGTTTCTCTTGTCAGAATCTGAAAGTTAGTCCTGAAAACAGAAACATTAAGAAGAGTGAGTAAACAGAAACTCGACTGACTACTTACCAAGTCTAGAGGATATAGTAAAATCTTTCTTTCAGAATAAGTTTATTATCAAATATATGTTAAATATCTAAAATTTTTATTTATTTATTTATTTATTTATTTATTTATTTATTTATTTATTTTGCTATAGGGTATGTGCACTCACCAGAAAGACAGAGAGAGACAGAGACAGAAAGTGAGAAATCACTCCCCAGGGGTGATGGCCATGCTACAATCCCTTCTCCTCCATTCTCTTGGGACCTTGGCCATGCATGCACACACGCCCGGCGTGAGTTTAAGCCACTGGGTCCGGGACTTGAACCACAGTTGACTACATGGGAGTCCAGTGACAGCTAGTTTGCTAACTGCTGGTCCCAAATTTTTTAAATATTATAAATAGTTTTTAAATTTTCTCAAGAAAAACATATAAGTACATAATTAAATTTTAATTTATCAACTGTATTTTTTAATATTTACAAATATAGGAAAATGAGATTAATTCTTATTTTCTATCGACTACTCAAATAATGCTTTTTAGCTTTCCTGAGCTTTATAGGTTCATAAACAATAAAGCTAATATAATCTTATGACTGATTATGTCAACTATACAATCAATACTGAAAATCAGAAATTTCTAAACCAATTAATTATTTTTTACATTGTGTGTCTATGCAGTGGCATAAAATATTAACAGCCATAACACTTAATAGCTGTAACTTTATTGTTAATTCCATATATGACATAATCTCTGTCTAACATAGTAAATCTGTTATCAAAATACATATTAATTTTTTTCCAAAGTTATACTCTTTAATTCATGTAGTTCTAATTAACAATTTTTTATTGTGTAAGAACTAATAAAGTTGTAACAATTATAAAGGTATTCTACTTTATTACTTTACTCTAGAAATGAAGAAATAGAAGTTTGAGAAACCTTCATATTCTCAGAGATGTGCAGAAAAAAAACAATCTATACATCTATGACTAGAGTCCTGATGCTCAGACTCCTAGTCATGTGTCCATTGCACTACACTAAACCCTGACCCATATTCTAGATCTAGAAACTAATGTATTTTATTTATTAACAATCCACTTTCTACTGATGAAAAGAGGAGGGGTGGTAAACTTACAAAAAGTAGTCGAACAACGTGTATATGTCACAGGATTATACCAGAAACCACCTTCAGGATAAAAAACACTTCAAAAAAGGATTTAGGGGGAACCAGCAGTTAGCATAATGGCTATGTCGCTGGACTCCCATGTAGTCGACCGCAGTTCGCATCCCGGACCCGGTGGCTTAAAACTCAACGCTGGGCGCGTGTGTGTGCGTGCCCAAGATCTCGAGAGGAGAATGGAGGAGAAGGGATTGCGGCATGACCATCTCCCCTGGGGGGTGATTTCTCGCTTTCTGTCTCTATGTCTCTCTCTCTGTGTCTGGCGAGTGCATGCACCCTATAGCAAAAATCTCTCCAAAAAAGGATTTAGGAAAAGTTTCCTTGCCTGAGAGTAACTATTAATACAGTAAAACAAACTTAGAAATTTCTCTTTCCTAGAGGTCTCTATTATCTATCCCTATCTATCTATCTATACTTCTCTCCCTTCAAGAAATGTAAGTTATTCATTCTGTCCCTGTGAAGGACAAGCATTAAAAACTTGGATTGCACTGTACTATAAAGACATTTTGTGGAGAAAGCAATGATACAAAAGAATAATGTTCCTCTAAATGTTGTCTAACTCTTTCAGATCTTACTATAGCAGGAATCCCTTACTCTATCATTTCTGCTAATATTATCTCTGGTCAACACAATTCCAGAAATAGTTTACAGATGGCCCATCAATAAATATGTCACATCATTTGCAAGACCTAGACACTCAGTGGTTCTGTCTATTCCTACACTCATGAATTTGAGTATTAATGACAACCTCAAAAGACAATTCATCACAAAGACAGGTTGTCAAATCATTACATTTGTTTCTTAATGTCATGTTTTATTTATCTAATAATTTAAAATTAATTTTAAACTAATGACACATTTAATGTAGTGGCTCCTATGTCCCAAATGCTATTATTAAATTGTCGATAAAACTTTCTGTGTTTTCAAGTCCAGGGAATACGTTAACTTCTGAAATCTTGTTTCTTATTTCCTGTGTGTGTGTGTGTGTGTGTGTGTGTGTGTTTCCCTTTATTTTCAGTTGAGTTGCTATTTTTGCTCTCAAGAATCACATGTTTTTCCTGTCTTATAATTTTAATTAAAGCTGGTCCCAGATCAGCCAGGTAGTATAACAGTGAAGATGGCTGAATCTCACACAGTCGACTGAGTGGTTCAAGTAACATCCTGCTGGCTTGAGGAAACAGTCTGAGCACGTGTGTGTGAATGCTCAAAATCCCGAGAAGAGAAATAAAGAAGGGATGATGCATGACCATCTGTCCTAGGGGATGATTCTTCTTTCTCTCTGTCTGTCTCTCTCTGGTCAGCACATATGACCTACAGCAGGAAAATAAATATAACTAAACAAAAATAAAACTGGCACCTTGGATTTATTTTTTCACTAAGAGTTTGTTCTACTGATTTTGTTTGACTTACACAGTTGTCTATTCTACCTTGACTATGCCCCCCAAAACTATACATAAGCAAGACAATACACATTCCCCAAATTCCCAGAGTTATTCTATCCCCCAAACATGATACCTGTTGTTTTGTTTTATTTTATTTTTTTAGGACTGTCATCCGGAGTCTCTAATAACAAAGATTTTTCAGAAAGAGCAGGCTTCCTGCTCTTTGTACATATATTTCTTAGGAACTATTTATTTCTAAAAGGCAAATTTTCCCTCCCAACTTATTTCCTAGATTGAAATAAGGGTTAATTTGTCTTTAGAATGTTAAAACAAACCTGCTGATGACAAAGGCAGGACAACTCCTGGTTCAGAACAATACACATGTTCTTATATCCACAGTTAGAACCTTGGAGACATGAACCCTAGGGAATATCTACTGCTCCATTTGTTCAAGGTGACCGTGTAAACAAAGTTAATCATCTTTTTCTGATGTAATTCTTACATGCTAAACATCCTGGAGAAAAAATTACAGCAACATTAGTAATATTTCATATAAAAAAATCTATATTTTTAAAGTCACCTTCCCTAGCCCCCTGATCATTGTCATGCCACCCAACCATTCCACATAAAAGGTAATATTAAAAATTATCATTATTAAATATTGATTAAGTAAAATATTTTTGGCTGGGCATAATCCCATTCTTCCATTCCACACGCTGTAACCATATTGCAGCAACAATAATAGTCACCTTTCAAGTCACCATGATTCATTAAGTTTGCAAAGGTAAACATTCACATGGATAAATGATCTGGTCCCTGTTCAACTTCTGTCCTATTTATTACTCCCTTTGTCTGTTATTTCCTTCAGTTATTAGACCTTCTTTATGTTTTACTTATTTATTTTCAATACTGTATTTCTTCCTTATGATCTTTTTATTAAAAAATTTTATGTGTCTTTACTTTTTTCTTTCATGAGAGAGAGGGAGAGAAGACAGGGACAGAGATAAAAAGATAAATACTCTTGAAAGGGTCTTATCACACAACTTTCTGCCCCACCTTCCCAGCCAGATAGGAGAGTAGTTGTATGCACTGCTCAGCATGCATAACTTGACCAAGGATCCAAACCTGGACCTCCATATGGCTCCAGCATCACAAAGTAGAACCCTACCACCTTGACCAGGCTCCCTTATGGCCTTTTAAACTAGAGTTTTCCTTTATCTGAAGTCTTCCTCTTAAATTTTTGCTCAAAAGTTCCAAGAAAGCAGAAAATTTTTGACATTCTTTTTATTGAATATATCCCAAGCTTCTAGATCAATAAATAGCACAAAGTAAATATAATAATATTTATTAAATGATAAATATGACCTTCCTTGTAACTGGGACTAGAATCAAATGTACCAGGACTATAAGAAACTATAGTACAGACAAGAGAATTCACATACACATATGAGATATTTTTATAAGATATGATTATTTCAAGTAAATATGACAATTATATAAGTGACAATTTTCATTTATCAATTAAAATAAAATCAAAGTAGGCCATTAAAACAGAACCAACAAATGTTTAGTCTACTGGATTTTTAGTCAGGTGCATTAGAATATAGATGCTGAATTTCAAAATCAAATGCAGCAAGATGAAATTACTTGCAAATGAAAATCAACACATCAAATATACTCCGTAAGAAATCTTAAAAGTTTAATTATATTCACTCATTAAGCAAATATCTTTGCATACCAGTTATATCCAGTGCCATGTTATCAAGATGAGAATAATATAGACATAAGTCACTTTAAAACTTCTCTCTCAAAAGATGTATGTTTCTGTAATAATAAGCAATATTGTTGAGCTAATCAGAATTAAAATAGTTACTATTTCATGAACATTGTTTTCTGCTACAGGAGCCAGGAAAGAATTGTGCACAGAATAAATATATGTAATTAATTTTATATTCACCCATTCATTAAACAAATATATGTAACATACTTATCCTGATTTGGGTGCTATTTTAGGTATTGGGGGATAGGAGAATGTCCTTTTGTCAAATTTATATTTAAAGGAAGACACAAAACAAACAAATAAATATATATATATATTAATTTTTCAGTAATGTTAAGTGCTAATAAAGATATAACTCAAGGCCTGCAGACGGTGTGGTGGTTGCGACCTCGTATTCCCACATGTTTAATCGTGGTTCAAGTGCCTGATCTGATGGATTGCTTTTTCGCTTTCTCTCTCTCTGGTCAAATTAAAAAATAATAAGTAAAATGAAATAAAATAATTACTGGAGGAGTCGTTTTAGGTTCTGATGTGAGGCAATGGCACAGTGAGGTGCTATTTAAGCATGTCCCGTTGTGAGGTGAGAAACAGAGTTCT